CATCCTGTAGCAAGTTACTAGCGAGGGGTTATGTTTTACGAGGTAATCACGGTTTGCAATGTGGCTACCATTTCAGGTAGCTCACCATTACGGTGCACTGTGAGTGGTTGGTATTAGATGGTTGGAGGCAATCGGCTATAGGAAGCCTTGCCTGACCTAGGTTTCGTGCTTGTTGGCACTCACCAGTCAGTAAAACATATCTGCAACCTTGAAGGAACTTTTGTCCCTTCTGAAATTCGAACTCGCGTCAGCCAGTGCTGCAGTCAGTCAGAGACGTTACCACTGAGCAGCTATTCGGGCTCGCGACCGACCTTCTTCAGGACTGTATTGGATACTTTCATTGGAAACTAGTAACTAGTATGATGTGTCTAGTGCTTTCTTTGGGTTCGAATCTCAGAAGGGACATGATTTCCTGTAAGATTGCAGATACGCCTTGCTGACTGATTGGTGAGTACCAACTAGCACGAAACCTAGTCTAGGTCCAAGACTTCCTACCCATTGCCTCCAACCACCATCTAACATTCCACTTAATTAATTTACCTTGTTATAGCTTTCGTTGTAAAGTATTTTTACTCTACCTATTTCCTTTGCTAACTTTCTGTTTCATTTCTACGCCTATTTTCTATTTTTCATCTTCTCTTATCCACCTGTCTACTACCTATTGGAAACATTTTTTGCATAGATTAAAATTCTATTCTTTTCTCTCTTTTTTATGCATACTGTCAAAATTAATTGCTTTCATACTTGTGATATGTCTAAATGTCAACTTTCAAATAATTTTTTTTCAATTTTTATTCTTTTCTGGAGATTAAATTTATATATGCACATTCATTTTGCCAGTGTTATTATTCATAGTAATATAAATATCTAAGTGTGCTATAAAAATTTATACTGTTAATATATGCATATAAGCGTGAAGTAGTCGCCTTGTATGTAAACAAAGAAACACGTGGTACGACGCATGGTCAGGCTATTGATTTTATCATCAAGCAATGTTAGCTATCCTAGAATTTAGTTGACAAGGTGTTAGAAGTAGTCAAATCCAATCTATGAAGTTTACGACTGCTAGTTTAAGCCAAGTAGAGGAGGGTGTTGACTGTTCTCGAGACTCTCTAAGAACCAATAGCTGAAGACTGTAGGTGATATATATTTTCAAGTGTTGGGGTTTACAGGGATTTGATTGGTGGTGGTGACACAGGTTTGATTATGAATTGAAATCAGTTGAAGAACTACCATTGGAGAGCCAGGGAATACTGGAATGCTTTTTCGTTTCAGTTTTTGACTCTTCAGCATTACTCACTCATTGACGTTCGAACCTAGGATTTTCCGGTTACAAGGCAAACTCATAGATCATTCCGCCACTGGGATAGGATCCAATAGCCTTGTTCGGGATATATGTAGTGCAGCCACCAGCCATTGACAAGTAACTGTCCCTTCATCTGACTTGGGGGAACTGCTCTAGTCACGACTTTTCAATAAAACTCCGGATAATTTTCTGTATATAGTCAGTCGCCAGTAAGCATCAGATTATTTTTCAAGTATTGATTTGCAAGGATATGGCTAAGAATTGTTCATTTGTTGTCACTTTCAAGATGCATTGAATTTTCATTATTATTAACGTAATTACTCTTTCTCCTGTGCACTTTAGTTCATTGTAGTTCCTTCTCAACTCTTTATTGTTATTGTTTGCTTGGGTTCGGAGTGGAACATATGACTTTAATAGCACATCTCCATTTGTTCTGTTTTCTACGGTCCTCCTCAACTAGTCCCACGATTGCCATAGTTTCTCAACGTTCCCAACGTTTCTTGCCGCTAGTTCTCTCTGGCCAGCCATTTGATCTTCATTATGGAGCCAGCAAACACAGCTGTTGACAAAAAGTCTGCAATTTGTCGGAAATTCTGTACGTGATGCGCGTGTTAAGTTTCTGACCCATATAGAAGATCTGAGTTAATATTTGTGTTGAAAATTAGAATCTTATTCTTTGTGCTGAGCGAAGAAGATTTCCAAACTGATTCTCGAGAGAGATGAAGGTTTTTCATGCCTTCGCAATTCTGGTTTCCCATTCTGGGCCGTTCCACGGCTTGTAGTGTAAATTATGCTTCCTAGATAAGCGGAGAATCTGAACTTCGTCAAATTTCTCCAGTCGATGGTGAATGGTGCTTGTTATTGTTGTTGTTATTGTCAGTTGGTTGGTTACTTTCATCACCTCCGTCTTCTACATGTCCACTTGAAGTTCTGTCTTTGCTGCCTGTCTCTTCTGACAACTTGTTGGTTTTTGCCCTTGAGTTTAAGGCATCAGAAATAAATCGTCCGTGAAGTCTGGATCTTCTAGAGTCTTCTTATTAGTCCAGCATATTCCTGTCTTCTCGCTCCCCGCATAATCCACTCTAACACAGTTAGGAGTGTCATCTGCCAGGCTGGCAGAGATCTGTATCCAGTGGATGTTTCATTCTCTCTAAGATGGCATTTTTTCTTACTGTCTACTCTTATCTGTACATTGCAAAGTGAACAAGTTTATGAGGTTTACGATTTAGTAATATCTTTTCTAAAGAGACAGTAGAAGGTGAATAGAAATCTCTACACGAAAGCATGTTACAGAATAGATATCTACCCAGATTTATTAACCGCAATATCAGCAAATAGTGTGTCGGTGGCATAGCGGCTAGGACGCTCGCCAACCATGCACATGTTTTGGGGTTCGATCCCCAGTCGGCGCACTCCCTTACCTCGCTAAGCCAGAAATAATGCTGGTGAAGAGGAAAGGTTGGGCATGAGGCTAGCAACCGCATCCTGTAAAATAAACACTGCTACAGAATCTTCAAGCCACTAGCTTGAAGCCCTATGTTCCACTGGGGAACGTGAAGAAAAAAAGATATCAGCAAATAGCTTCAATGACGGTGGTCCCAATTATCCCTAAGAAAAATCCCTTCATTAAGCTGGAGCTCAGTGTGTAACACTACATCAGAAATTCTCAACAGACCATCTTTCCACATCTCTGTGTGCGTCGGTGGCACTGTGGTTAGGACTCTCATCGACCATTCACATGGCCCGGGGTTCGATCCCCTGTCGATGCACACCTGATATCAATTGGTCGGCCTGCAAAATTTGGGCTACCGATATCACATGCTGAAAATTCCATACCTGTACCAAAAGATACTGTGTGGAATCAAGCTGTAATTATAAAAAAATTATATAAAGCCAGTTTGAGAATCACATTCTCCATTATGCGTTAGGGATAGAATACTGCTTCTAGACGTTTCAGCATGTATCTGCTAGTTTACTTGTTTTTTCTTTTCAGCAAAGTACATCGATCATACACAGGGTCAAGAGCACAGTCGCATTTCTAGACATTATCCACCTTGGGTAGCTGGGAGGGAAGAAAACAATGTTGGTAGCAGTATTCTTCAGAACTTTGTCTCTGTAGTCTATGCAGTTTCTTGGTGTCGCACTAGACTACTTCGAACACGTTATTTGTACCTAGATAAATCGCTGCCAGTGTGGGACTTTGAACTCAATCTCAGTGTTCAACAGTACTAGGTCTACTTTCCTTACACTAGCAGATTAGTATTCCCACGATACACTCGTCTACATTTTGTTCTGTTCTGTGTGCTGTGTATTTATGTGTGTGTGTGGACAGTGGCTCAGTGATGTCATTGTTAGATGACAGTTCTACCCTTTTTATGAACCAGCGGGTATGAGAAAAGGTCGAATATTCGGTTTTAAATCGGTTAACTAAGTGGCAGTCCTGGGTTGGTTCCTACACACTGCTGCAAAGTGTTCAAGGAGTAGTGCATGTATACGGTCTTTAATTTTTCACTAACTGAACCTGCTACTTTCGGTTTATCACAAAAGGTACCTTTCCTCGATTCTTTGACCGCGAATAGTGTAGGTGAATAAAAAGTCGTGTAAGTGAGGAGTTATCTATCGATAATCGTTATTGCACATGGAATATTTCAACTAAAATATAAAGATTAACTGACTGATTGAGTTTCAACTTGCAGTCTTACACAGAAGTGTTACAGAATTTCAAGTTGCCACACTCCATGTAGCACACAAAGGGAAACAAAAGATATTGAAGAGGGACTATAACGAGTTGAAATGTGCGAGAGACAGACTAGAAACACTGACAAATATGCGAATTCAAAGAGTCTTGGATCTTACAAGAGTGAATGCATCTTCACTATTAACAACGAATTTGAGCCAAATCACCGACAGTCTGTAGCTAATTGGCTCGTAGCATCCAGAAGACCCTAACCAAGCAGTGTACACTTTCTTTAGTGTGGCTATCTCAAATCAACTGTCAAATACTGTATGGATTGATGCCAAGTTTTGGCCTGACCATCCTTAACTCTTTCCAAACATCATCATGTGTCAGCTAACATTGCTTATCGAGGAAGTTGGTGGTTCGGGTTACACAACATATGTTGTCAAGGAACTTCGCCCTAAGTTCCTATTGTAACGAAGACGCTTTGAACCGATAAAGACTACGTATTCCTCCAAACTTTAAATCCAAAACACCAGTATTCTTTGAACGAAGTTATATTGTTTGGCAATTGAAGCAAGACAAAATACAAAGTCTACAAACAAATGTTTAGTACAAATGAAGTTATAAAGTACTTTTATTCGTGTTCTTTCCGCCATTTTCCAACTTGCACGCGATTGTACCATTCGTGCCTTCGAGTTGCCCACCAATAGCTGCCAGTCCCAATAAACAAACGTTCAATGTTCACGTCCATTGACATATGTCCTAGCCATCTCATTCAGTTCACCTGCACAACCACGAACTATTGGTTTTTAACACCTCGAGGTCCCCAACCAGGCAGTTTACACCTCCCTACATAACTACCAAAGACTTCCTGGATTAATTCCAGATTAAGGTTTGACCACCCTCCCCTAACTGTTGTCCAACCTACTCCTATAAGCGCTTATTTAAACGATATAAGTATTCACAATTATTTCATAATGTGTTTTATTCGTTTTTTTCTCCTTATTATTTCAGGGGATGAGTGAATTGGCTGGTTTATTTCTTATTTATATTGAAGATGAAGAAGATGCATTTTGGGCATTGAATCAACTGATGACCGGTTATCGACATAATATGCATAGTGTATATGTTGCTGATTTCCCCGGGCTCAAACGTTTATTTGCTCATCATGAACGTATTGTACGGAAATTGCTGCCTATCTTGGATAAACATTTCACTAAACATGATATGTTAACTAGTACATATGCACTGAAATGGTATATGCAGTGTTTTTTAGATCGGGTAAGTTGAAAATGTTCTTTAATAATAATAATAATAATAATAATAATTGCATGGAGGATTTCATCATGAGCTGACATCAGTTAGAGAACCACTGGAAAACCTGGGAGTACTGGACAGCTGTTTCGTCCTAGTTTGGGACTCTTCATCAGTACGCGTCCTGGGTTCGAATCCCGGTGGGTGCGTACTGATGAAGAGTCCCAAACTAGGACGAAACAGCTGCCCAGTACTCCCAGGTTTTCCAGTGGTTCTCTAACTGATGTCAGCTCATGATGAAATCCTCCATGCAATTAAACAAAATCCCTACCAAAACAATACTTGAAAATAATAATAATATTAATAATAATAATAATGGGAATTTTATTCTCTTATTATGAATAAGGATGATAAAGTCTAACATTTCAGTGTGATAAGAACAGTAATCACTTTGAAGAGAGAGAGAGAGGTAGAACAAACGTTAGCGTAGAACAACATGGAACCACTTACTTTGTCTCTTCTCCTCAGCTGTGTGCAACAACCAGTAAGTAGCGTTTGATAAAACCACTTATCAGACAATTTTAACAATACACTTTGTTTATCAAGAAAACAATATTCAGCGAAGAGACTCTTTTCAACGAACTTATTGTCAAGCTGTACAATCGTATATATATATATATATATATGTATATACGGCTTTGTTACAAGGAATTATATCCGATGAGGGAATTGAATCAAAGGTGTGAATACATGAAATAATAATAGCGTAAAATGTAATTAAAATATTTGCACTCGCCACCTGCTTTCGAACCCAGGACCGTCTAGTTATAAGCCGACCTCGTAGACCATTAAGCCACTGGGGCCCCGACTCCATGGCTAGCCCATGAATTCTAACTTCTGCCAATTCATGATACATATAGCGCGGCCACCTCGCTCAATCTCTTCTCCAGTGAGTTACTGCTTCAACTTCAACCTGCTGCATCCTACTGATCACGGCTTCCCACTGGAAATAGGGCCAGTCGCTAGTGAGCATCAGATTAATTTTTAAATACTGGTTTTTGTAGGGATTTTTTTCTTCGATTGGTTGGAGGATTTCATCATGAGCTGACATCAGTTAGAGAACCATTGGAAAACTTGCAGGGAGTACTGGACAGCTGCCTCGTCCTAGTTTGGAACTTTTCAGTAGTATGCACCCACCGGGGTTCGAACCAAGGACCTCCCGGTTACAAGCCGAGCCCATAGACTATTCAGCCACTGGGAAACAGCTGTCCAGTACTCTCAGGCTTTCCAGTGGTTCTCTAACTAACGTCAGTTCATGATGAAATCCTGTAACCAATCAAACAAAATCCCTATAAAACCAATACTTGAAATATAATCCTGTTCCGACGACTCAGTAGTAGTCACTGTACACATCAAAACATTTTGGATCCAATACACACATATATATATATATATTTATGAAATGGGTGATGGATGGGGGAAACTAGGTCTCAGGAGAATGAGCATCATGTGCCCCTTAGCTTATTAACCCAACACTAGTAGTATGAAATGCGATTAAAATATTTATGATTATAGTCATAGTCACATGTCAAGTGGCAAAACAATTAATGTCATATATAGAATAATTCATAAGATGTATAGGTGTTGGAAAGGGGTGTATAATTATAGGATTAGTAGGCTAATATAAAACGTTACACAGTATGATGTGAAGTTTGGTAAAATAGAATTCAATATTGTAAAAAAATTGAGATTGAGAATGACAAACGGGATAAACGGAAACAGTTTTCTTCCATTTCCTACAAAAAGTCCGTAGCATTTGGTTGAAACCATATTGAAAATGTGGCTGGGGATAGGTTGCCATTCGTGAGCGCAGTCGGATAGTTGCAACAATTTGAAATACAATAAATAAGATGCATTTTGATGTATGCTAAAAAGATTTTAGTAATCCAGCAATTTAAACAGATTACTGCTTCTCATCTGTCCTGCATAAAACTCATCAAGTCAGTGTACTTACATTTCCAGTGGGATGATGATGATGATATTCCTAGCGGGAGTCGTGCGCAACACTGATGAATTCTAAATCGGACCGAAACTTGCATTCTGAATTTCACTGCTAACCAAAACCATCAAATGCCAATAACATCTTGTTATCCATGTTAAAGCATCGTTAAAGGATCCATACTAGGAGCCTCTGACATGCCTAAATAAAGACGCCAAGTGTTTTGATTTAACTAATAAAAATAAAGATGAAATAACGGTACTAAAAACTTCAGCACTGGATAGCTGTTTTTGTTCCTAGTTTGCCACTCATCAAGAGTACTCACCCACTGGGGTTCGAACCCAGGACCTTCCCGTTACAAGTCAAATTCTTGAAAGTTCATATGATGCTCCCTAGTGACTGGCTACAGAACAAAGTTGCCTGGAGTTCTAGTAAGAAGTCGTGACCAGTGTAGTCCACCCCTTCGCGTGTGAGGACAAACACTCGTTGGCTGGTTCCAGTTGCGCTAAAACCGCGAATTGGTAGGAGTTAGAATTCATAGGTTGGCCATTGAGTTGAGTCCCATTGGTTAAATGTCTACCAACTGTCCTTGTAACCGGAAGGTCTTGATTTCGAACCCTAGCGGGGTGGGTACGTACTTCCGATAAGTCGCAAACAAGGACGAAATAGTCGGCTGTCCAGTACTCCCTGTTGGCTTTCAATGATTCTCCAACTGAAATTAATCCGTGGTCAAACTTGTGGCAATTCAAATCCCTACAAACTAACTCTTGAAAAAGTTAAACCTTCTGAACCGTTTCTGTTTTGAGATATATAAAAAATATTTATCCGGTTTTCTGAACATATTCCAAGAAACCTATGCCTGAAAGGAAGCAAATATTCTCAGAGTGCAATTACCAGACATATTGTTGATACCGGACATCTCGTAGAGATTTCTAAGTCCTTCAAAATATTAAATAGACAAAGGACAGCAAATTTACTACGATTTGCCGAAGCGATCGCAATCAAACGATTTAAACCAGACTTATGCATACAGAAAGAGAGTGTGATTAACCTCTCACTCCCTTGGTAACTGAATTTTGATTTTGATTAGTCATCTAATTCAGTGATCTCAACTCACTGAGCAAAACTCAATCTTATAAACTGTAAATGCTTTTGTTTTTCGGAGTTACTATGTGAACCTACAAGCTAACACTGTTTCTGTTAATCAATTTTTCTGTTTTCTGTCTTACCCCTCCCCCCTCTTTTTAACTCTGAAAGTGTATAAATTGATGATGATAACTTAAACTAAAGATTGTAATGCTTTCATTCTTTTTTGGATGCGTCAATTTTATCTCTTCTCTACTGCCACTCAAACATTAAAGTATGTTATTATCATTTATATAACCATTGTAATTTCAGGTAGTCTGCAGCTGATGAGAACCAGTGGAATAGAATGATATCATTTTATACTGCAAATTTCGTCTTCCTTTCTTTATCGAAATTTATCAAGGGAACCAGTTGTATGAAAAAATATTTACATAAATTTACTACTAATATTTGCCTGTCAGCAACCTGATAGTTCTGCCTCCCCTTAAAAAATGATCGGTGTGTATGTCATTTTGTTCGTAGTTGTGTAGAACTATTGCAAGAGGTCAAAAAAAAGCGGTTGAGCAAAGAATATTCTTTTCGATAACTTCGTTATCCGTCTACTGCATTTATATATACTTGATAATATTAATAAGAGTAATCGTTATTTTTCGAATCAATTCGATTCAATGATACTTATCGAATTCAGAGTTGAAAAACATGTGCTCTAAGTAAATCATATGTCTAAAAATGTAATACTAAATTGAGTAATAAGATAAAATTGAGAAGACAATTTATGCGATAATTAAAGACAGTTCAAAAACAATAATGGTTGAAGCGTCTAGACGAACATCTTCGGAATGCATAATTTAAGCTTCTTTGATTGGATTCACAAACAACTTCAGATATATGTATGTAAAATACAAACTGGTAAGGCAAAATTAAGATTATTAGGAATACACTGGATTAACTTTAAAAGCCTTGTTAACATCGAATTTTATGTTCACTACCTCAAAGATGAGTTAAAACAGAGCTGCTTAACGACACAGAATGGTGTTCAGAAATCTGATAATAAACACCCCTATCTGACTGGTTTCAACAATATAGAAATTTGCACAGAAGTGCGGCAGTCCCACTTACCTTACCCTATGTAGCACACAAAGGAGGGCAAAAAAGGAAAAAAGAGATTCGTAAAAACGATAATAAACAGAAGAGTACAGAAGAAAGAATAAGAACATAGAAAAGTAATATTTTATTTATTTATTATTTTGATTACAGCTTGATGCCACACCGTATTTTCAGTACAAGTATGGAATTTTCAACATGGATATCGGTAGCTCAAATTTCGCAGGCCGACCATAGACATCAGGTGTGCGTTGGCAGGGGATCGAACCCTGGAGCATGTGCATGGTCGACGAGAGTCCTAACCACTGTGCCACCGACGCACACAAGGGGGTTTATTGGATATGGTAGATCACAGAGAGTGAATGCATCTGTGCATGTTATTGAGAACGATTTTGAGCCATATCACCAATTGTCTCCAGCCTTCATTGGTTCTTAGCATTCCAAGGATCCCAATCAGTCAGGAAGTCTACACCTCCTTACGTGTCTGGCTTAAACTAACTTTTGTGGATTTCATTGACTGATGAAGTTATGTTTTGGTTTGACCACCATCTCTGGCTCTTTTCCACCCTGACTCATCCTATGTCAGCTAACATTGACCGTTGTTGAGGATGACGATCGATGGCTAGACATACGTAACACGTGTCTTTACTTTCAATGGCCATGTCTCTCTCACAGCCATGAAACAGTACAGAGAAAATTGTTGAGCAGTACACAAATCCTTTGATTGGTAGCCGGATATCACGTTTACATCAGAAATGACATAGGTTGACAAATGCCCATTAGGAATGATGCAACTTTCCCCAATAATTGAAGTGATCAACACTCTATACCACTTTACCGTCTTTCTTTAAACTAGGAGTGAGTCAATGTAGTCCAGTACTGTGGCATCGTCTTACATTTGACAGAAGCAAATCGTACGCTAAACAATAGAAGATTGTTGCTCAAGATGTTCAGGAGACTGCATTTTATCAGCATCTTCACCTAGAAGGAGGACTAAATCATCCGCATATCCTAGAACATCCCTAAATATAACTGGCTTCAGACGAGCAGTCAGACTAGTAGTCACATATACAGGAAGTGAAATTAAGTAGTTTATTTTTAATTCACAAAACCTAAAGTTATAGTACTTGTGAATAGACTGTGAACTTCAACTGCATTGAATTCTCTTTTTACTGCATTCTTTAAACGTTGTGTTATCATCTTATTGATCATACCACGAAGAAACTGCAGTTTTTCTCTCTTTGGACACGGTGTTTTCCGCGCTTGCCTGAGAGTAACATTCATAATTCTATCACTAAACGTTTTTTGAGTATCCACTTTCACTCAGTAATTATTGTTCCTATTTTGGTTATTTTATGTCTTTATTGATTACGTAATTCATCGTATCAGATTGTATCAAAATGTTGTAATGAATTTGTTCCGTTTTCCGTTTGTCTGGTTGGTTGGTTTTTTCCAGTCAAAAAAGAGTTACACTTTGAAATTATCTATGTGGCTTCAACCGTGGAAGTGTTTTATGTCTTTTCATTTAAAAACTCTGTATAGCGATTAATGTTCGCTTAGCATTGATGTATTAACCACTAAATTTGTTTACGTTGTTTGTTTTTTGTTGTTGTTGTTATGTTGTTATAGTTACCTGTGACATTGGTACTTCGATTATGGGATATATACTTGTTAGAAGGTGAAAAGTTACTCTTAGCTATGGCGTATAATATACTGAAAATGCATAACAGTAAGTTAATAATAACAATAATTATTATTACTATTATAATAATAACAGTAATTAGTATTTATTTATTGGTTTTTTGTATACTGTTTAGTTTAACAAGACGGTAAGTGTGTAACGACAGAAGACAAGGGCCAGGCGACAGATCGTTTATTGAGAAAATCAACAGATGTTTATATATATTTCTTATGTACATTATTATTCGTTATTATTAACAGAGAAACAGCGTCTTCTGATTGGTTGTTTTCTCGCTGAAAATTAATCTGTCATCTCTTTGTGGTCGTTTCTTTGAAGGTCAGACCAAATATCCGTGAATCGAATCCGCCCACCCAAGGTCTGCTGTGATTGGTTGTTGAGTTAGTTTTTGTTCTTGTTTTTTCCTTTCTTATGACCAAGATTTGGGATGTAAACATTGACGTAAGTTGCTGTCTACCAATTTTGGCTAGCAGACAGCTATCACCACAGATATACTAATGGAATTCATCCTAACTGATTTCAGTGAATTAGGGATTGTCTGTTTTTTTATCAGGGGACAGTTGTATCGACGCAGAGTATCCGGATGATAGTATTTTCAATCTAAGTGAAATGTGTGCTGGTCTGTGGGGAGCGAGAATACACGAATACGTCGAACTGACTAAAAGACTTTTGAAGATTTGTAATTTGTGGACTATTTATATCTAATGTCACACAAACTGGTCGAGGGAGTTGGCAGTGAAGACAGGACCTCAAGTAAAGTCAGAGATGACTGACTGAAGGGATGAAATTAACCAACCATCAACAATAAACATCAATTACTATAAATGGAATAAATTTGAAAGAGGTTACTTCATTCACTCTGAAATCAGTTTGGAAATCTTCTACACTACTCATCATAAAGTACAAAATTCGGATTTTCAACACAAATATTAAGTTAGTTAGTTAGTGCTTCTATTCGAGTCAGAGACTTGGTGCATGAGTTACAAAAAGCCTTTCCAACAACCAGCTGTAGACTTTTGTTAACACCTGACTTCGCTAGCTCCATATTGAAGATTAGATGGTTAGCTAGAAAGAATCAGTAACAGAAAACTCTGGCATCTAACGGACCAATCAAGAACGTATTTCTCAACAAATATATCAAAGAAAATGGAGGTGGATTGGACACACGCTGAGGAGACCGTCTCATGACATCAAGCGTTAGCCAGACCATCTCTCGAGTGGTAGACAGTCCACTACAAGCCATCTCTCGAGTGGTACCTGAATGGAAGACGATAAGTTGGGTGGCAGTCCGAGGGTGACATGGAGGAGATCGTGCGCAGAGGTGATTTTAGGTTATGGTTGATCTTGGGGTCAGATGAAGAGGACTGTAAGAAGTCCTGTTTTCCACTGGGAAACCATTGGGACAACAACAGTGATAATAAAGTGAAAACGCTGACAGAACTGTGGAGTTTTCTGAGCACATTAGGTAGAAATCGTTGAGGGTTTGGCTTGCGATTCGCCCCAGTCAATAGGTGTTGAGTTCAAGCTTCAGTTGAGAAACTATCACTCACTGTGGAAATGCAGTTACATCCACTAGCTGACGAGTCCCAAATAGGACGAAATACACATTATCCTGGATTTCCACTGCTAGTCACCATGTATCTAATTACTTCAAATCTTTACCAGTGTCTACACCTTGTTGTTTTTCTGTTATTTCTCTACAATTGATTACATATCATACTACTTGTTTTCATCAAGGGAAGTTAATTTTATTTTTAACAATACTTGGTATTCACAGAAACTTGTAACTAATTATGTGCTCTACACTTTGCTTATTAAGTGACTAATATTAATACTTGTGTGTATGCGCGCGTGTGTGTAGGTATGTATGTGAGTATTACTAACATATCGATTAGTATTTGTCTGGAATTGCTCAGTAGGCGATTAGTTGATTAATTAATTCACATTTTTACACACTACACCATATGCAACTTGAAATGAATTATAAAATTACAATAACGTCATTGTGTAAAACTAGTGGATGCAGGTGTAGAGGAATGCAATTATAATTGTGATATGACTCTGAGCTTTACTGGTTTTTTAGTTTTACTGCAATATAATTTATTATTTAGTAGTGGGACATACGGCTTTAACAGCACATCTCTATTTCAGCTTGTTCTCTACAGTCGTCTTCATCTGGCTCCACGATTGACCATAGTCTCATATAGTCTCCTCCATGTCATCCTCGGATACCCAGCTGGTCATTTGCATTAGGATTCCACTCGAGGGCTGGTTGCATGATGTCACCCAATGGTCTCCTCAGCATGAATACGGTCTATCTCCACCTTCTTCTATATATATTTGTTGAGCAATAGGTTTTTGGTCGGTGCGTTCCTAATTCTTTCCGGCCATTTGATCTTCAGTATGGAATCAGCTTTTCGCGTCGGTGACACAGCGGTTAGGACGCTTGCCAACCATGCACATGGTCCGGGGTTTGATCTCCGGCCACCGACGCACTCCTTTACCTTGCCAGGCCAGTAATAAAGCTGGTAAAGAGGAAAGGTTTGGCGTGAGGCTGGCAACCCCATCCTGTAGAAATAAACACCACTGCTACAGAAACTTCAAGCCTCTAGCTAGCGAAGCTCTATGTTCCACTGGGAACTTGAAGGCTAAGACAGCTGTTGATAAAAGTCTGTTACAGACTTGTTGGAAATCCCTTTCGTGACACGACAATTTTCTGAGCCGTATAGAAGAGCTGACTGACTGACTGACTTAACATTTGTGTTGAAAATCTGAATCTTTTTCTTTATGCTGGTTGAATGCAGAAAATTTCCGAACTGATTTCAAGGTGATGAAGGCGTATCTTGCCTTTCTGATTCTGGCTGGCTTTGACATCTTCAGCAATGCTGTTCGCTTTTGTTGGAAACCATGGTTCTTAGATAAGTGAAGTAAGTAAGTAACCTCCGTCAAATCTCTCCCGTTGATGGTGCTTGCTGCTGGAGCGTAATTGTATGTTACTATTTAATACCATATGATTCATTTAAATAGTCTGATACTACTCACACCAACCTTTTAGTACTTGCCAGCCAGATAGAAGTGATCTGAAAAACACTACTGTCAGTGGTATCTAACTACTCATATGGATCGATCAGTAGTGTCTACTGACACAACCCTAGGTGGATAAGTAATGTACTTTATTATTATTATTATTACTTTCATGCAAATCATTATTAAAATAATTGTCATTATACATACTATTGGCGCCAAGTTCTATTGAATAGTAAATAGTTAAAAGTAACATTAATTCATCTTCGTTTTTGTTTATTACTTCATTTAACTGGTGTGCGGTGCTGGTGCAGTTAAATAGGTTAGGCTTAGGTTAAGTCTTCAACCAGTGAGTCATTCAACAGCTTCTGACCTTCTAACCAACAGCTGTGTGGTCGTCTTGAGAGTTGAGACGGTCCTGGTTTTCGTTCTTCATATGGTTGTAAACGTACAGTGTTGAAGAGTCTACAACTGGAATGAGGATATTTATCTAAGTTTCCATCTGTTATCAAGTCTATCTTAACAATTTGACATCTCTACTACTTCAGACACTTTTACATAATATAATTAGATAACTTTTCAAGCGGTGATTTGCAAGTATTTGATCGGTTTCAGGTATGGAAGTGAACTGATTTTAGTTTATTTTTAAAAACTGTCGAAAACCAGTAGGGAGTACCAAGCAACTGTTTCTTCCCTGTTTAAGACTCTTCAGCAGTTTGGAATCATGACTCTACCTGAGATCAAACTTAGACTATTCAAGCTAGGAGGCGAGATCTCTTGGACGTAATCCAATAGTCCATCGATTCCAACTCGTACCAATCCGAGATATATGTGGCCCAATTCTCTTATAACTTGAATGTTTTGGGTTTGATTCCTGGGGAGATCATTGATGCGTACTGATGAAGAGTTGTAAACAAGGACGAAATAGCTTTTCGTTTAATTTGAAACTTTTGAAAACTGATGAAACTTTGCTGTGACTGATACACTTTGCTTATGTGATGGCACGAAATGTGCACAAAATCTAGTCTCAAAACTTATACACGTTTCCTCCTAAGATTCTTTTAACCATTGTCGAGAAATAACGGCTACCTTTACCAATTTTAATGCGTGTTTGAAACAAATAATCTGTGAATCAACGTGTCATTGTAACTGTTCTTACACTGTGCGTTAGCACAATACAGTCACATTTTGTGTGGACTTGATTGACAAGATGGAGAAGAAAAAGAAGAACTGTTGTACCCACACCTGAGACATGTCATCAGACTCAATTACACCTGGCTGGGGGGTGGGGGAGGGCGGTTGCGGAGCGGTGTATAACTTTTGCCTACATTGCGACATTTATTGATAATTTCTATACTACTGTACAAATTAAATCTGTCATCGTCACCATTATCAGCTGTATTTTCATTGGATAATTTTTTAAAACTTGTATTAGTTAGAGAATTAAGAAATTTGTTGTCTTAAAATATGAATTATATAAAAATTCTAGTAAATCGAGAAAATTCTTATTCTCACATAAAGGTTGTATGTCTCCTTTTTAATGGTTCCTATGGTGTTATTCACTTTTGCCTGTCATATATAATATGAGGCTTTTCTTTGATATAAATGATTGACCAATTGTAATTTGAGTGAATTGAATTTCTTTCACTATTATTATTATTAGACTTACGTAGGAATGTTATATTCGATTTTATCAATAAGAATGCATATATATATATATTGGATAAAGTGTATTTGACAGAAGAATGCTCAGATTCCTTTACTTGTTGTCTATTTGGCATAATCTTTGTCAAAGTTATCATCTCTTAAGAGTAGTTTATATACCATTATTTAAGTGCTAATTCAAAGAAAATCGGTTGAGTTTATTCTTTTTTCAATCTTCTAAGCATCACTTACCCTTATCTACCCATATGTACAACTGTTATGTGAAAGACTGATTAGTGAACAAAAAGGATTCTCTACGATAATTTCTTTTCTATCACTGGTTTGTAAGGATTAGATTTGTT